ACAAACTAAGTGTATCAATTTATGTTTAGTAAAATCAGTCAAAGTCCCATCATTGTAATTATAATTGTGTTAAGCATGCATTGAACTCATCTAGAATTGTATTAAAATTATAGAAAAGGTTCGAAGTATTGAAAGAAATTATTGTAGTCGTTTAGTTGTACAGCTTTCTATTGGTAATTGGACAATATTTTGTCAAATTTTCTTGCCAACACAGTTGTTTTTAGATAACTGGAGCAAGCCAAGTTGTTGCTACTTTCTAATGGATCAGAATTGATGAGAATACCAAAACGCTAAAGAACTTATACTTTACATAATTTTGTTTAAAATGGTGAGATGAAAACGAAAATCTCTAATTAAAGTTTTATTTCATACTCAATGTTGAATTACATATTTCACGTTTAAGATTTTTTTTTTTAATAAAAGGCTTCTTCAAAATAAGTGTTATTATTTTCGTAGCTTCAGTTTTTGTATCGAAAATTCGAATGACGATGGAAACGCGATGCTCTTGGGGTAAATAATTTTTCTGCATTGCACGAAAATGGAGGGGAAATTACCCGTTAAGACGTCGGAAATTTTAGATGAGAAGAGCGACGTACAATATAATATCAAATATAATATCTCTTTTCTGTCTCTCTCTCTCTCTCTCTCTCTCTCTCTCTCTCTCTCTTTTCACGCTGTCTGTCTCCCTCATCCCCTATGTCTCACTGATTTTTTACAAAATTGTACACGGCTATAAAGAAATCTAATTTTTCAATAATTGTCTTAGGCAATTGGACATTGTGCTCTCACGTACTTATGAATATTGTAAAGCTCGAAAGACAATTTTATTTAGCAGACATTTCATAAACTTTCCCTCGGATGTTAAATTAGATGCTAATGTACGCCCCGTACATTTAATATGAATTACATATGAATTAATATTCTGATTTACGACGTCTTTCATAGCTTTAATCCAGATTTGAAGGTTATAAGAAGGAAGCGAAAGAGCCGTAATCAAAAAACTGTATCCAAGCAGATCAACGTTACTTACACTTTATTACGTTCATTGTATTACATTCACATTCTCACCATATTTATATACGCTCCTCTTTGTTACAATCGAGACGCAAGCAATTTACCATTCTACTCGTATCCTATTGTTTAATAAGAATTGCGCTTTTAAATAAATAAACAATAAAGCCCAACAGCGTAAATAATACGCGCGACTAAGTACTCCGAGACTTTTAAAACTCGCGATAGCAGCAAACTCTTACCTATCGAAATGTATTTCAGCCGCCTTCCGCCATTACGTAATTAATCACCATCTTGGACCTCATTGTATTTTGGAGTAATGAACGATCGTGCAACCTCAAGTACCCTCGGCTCAACTGCTTCGTAATCGCTCGCACAAGGCGAATAAGTGGAGGAGCGCGCGATAATACCGCCCAAGAGACTTCCCGATGCATTGGGTCCTCGCTGCGTTTGAGAGAAAGTCTCTTTTGTCTCGTGGTACAGCGGGACTCTCGCTTTGAGTGAGAACTGGCGGGGCCACGCGTTTCATCGGGGGTCACTTTACGACTAGCGCGGCTGGATTTTCGAGGAATAGGTGCCGCCGCTGCATCTCACGCGAGCTATGCGATTTTTCATCGTACTTGCCGGATATGAGTCGCCGTTGTTGGGTGACGATGAATCGCGCGATATTTTTTCGACCAAGCTATTCCCCTCCCCCCAACCCTCAAATTGATTATGCAAGAGAGTCGTGAAATAATACTCAGGCTCTTGCTAATAAATTACCTCCTGAACCAGCGTCTGCGTGTTTGTACTCCTACTGGGTCCGACTGGGTCTTCTCGATCATCAGCCTATTACCATCCACTCGGGTTAATATCGTAGAAAATTCTCCCAGCCCTCCCCACTCCCCTCCCACTTAAATATCTATCGGCTATCGAATCTTCGTTAAACTATCCTATAAAATAATGCCCTTAACCTCTTCAATGAAATCGCAGGCGTACCTTACCCGCGGCCCGTCGACCGGTTGCGTCGAAGCGCGCCTTAAGTGTAACCGAGCGTCTTTCAAACTCCGTCGACTGTCCAAAGCAGCGAGGAATGCCAGCCGAACGCGTATTTTTAGGAGAGGCAGGGACGCTCACGTTATGTTGAATGTTGTGTCGAAATAATCGGCAGTGGCGATCCCGCGAAACACAAAAGAGCGCGAGTGCAAGTCGCTTCCGGAACCGGTCCGCGCTCACCTCTGCCCGCTATTTTTGACAAACACGCGCGGCTCCCGGCGCCTCCGCCGCTACTGCTACCGCCTCCGCTCCGCTCCCCTCCATCATCCCGTCCCTTACCATCGACATCGCCGTCGCTGCCCACCTTTCTGTATCTCGCGCACACGAGTGCGATTACTCAGCGTCATCTTAAAGACGCACGGCAGCTTCGGGAATCGAGGAAAAAATGTGCCCGCGCGGCGGTCCGCGTATCTTATTCCCTCGCATACTTTTACAGCCTCTTGGGCGACTGGTTTTGAAAGCCTAAGAACATTATCTCCTTGGACCCACGTCGATGGAAATACAAGAGGAATAGGAAGAGCCGATTGAATACAAATTGTTTTTAATGAGGGAAATTTTTTCGACTTCTTTTTGCTCCTTACTCTTCGTCGAAATTTATAACGAGCATTATCTTTTTACGTGCGGGCCGCCCTCTTAGTCGCCTACTCGGTAAGATTCGTTAAAATTATGAAGTCGATATGGTCGTTCGCATAAGAAATAATACGAGGACGGGCGTGCCTTTTTCATTCTTCCGGATCTTTTCAGGGAATTATGATATGACCGTACGAAATGTATTCCCTAAGATTATGCATTATTAACGATGGTGGTAATTTCGTAGCGAGGGTCGCATCTTTTATTTAGATTTCGTTGGCTTCCGCTAATGATCCCCCCCCCCCACACACACACACAATCCGCCCGTAGATTGAGCCATAAAGTCGACGAAGCCAGTGGGCGATGAATATTATCAATTTGGAAAATGCTAACCTTCCAAATGCCTAATCCTCGAGCTTGTTTCATCGAGATTCTTCAATAAAATCTTCTTCCCTCGAATACTCGACTCGACTATATGGAAGGATAGGCTCACAAATATACTATTGCGATTACTCGAATCTCGCCTAATGCTCGGCTATGGCGTGAAAAAACTCTCGATAAATGCCATCTCGTGTTGGTTATGCGCGACAGGCGTATAATAAACAATAGCTCGTCTAGTGGCTAACTAAAGCATGCACCAAAACTATTTTAAAATCATGGATTTTTAGAAATATAGGTCAGCATAGATCTTCGAGCCGAGTGTTAGTCTGAGCATTTTGGATGCGCGCGCTCTAGGCTCTTTATTGCTTTTTTATTTTGTTTTTGTTTTTTATTTCTTTCTACGGGGCTATACGTGGGCATTCATTAATTTGCCTTCCGCGCTGTTCAGTTGAAAGAGCTGTTTTTACATTCAGTTTAAAAATACATTAAGTAGTGCATTTATTTTTAGTTAAGCGATTATAATCATAGGCTTGAGATGCATTTAAAAATTTTCATTATTTTAAGCTATTTCTCTAGATGTAATTGTCGCGATTGTCGAAAAAAAGTAGAGGACCAACGTAAGTTTCTCTATTCGCTAATGGGGTAGTGATTCTTTTTATTGGATTTGCAAAGTGAATTATTAATATTTAATTTCCACTTTGCAGTATTGAACATTTTAATTCATTATATATATATGATAACGAAGGTAATGTCTAACGTTATATGATATTACAGTAGTGACTTATTAATGATTAGATGTAATAATTAATAGGCACAGCTTAAAGTCGTCGGTAAATGAGCTAACGACTACTTGCGCAAAACAAAATTGTTATTTCATCAGCGATCTTAATTAGCATTTTTATCGAACATTTATTAATAATCCATAGATGTATTTATTTATTATGATTAATAAACGATAACATTCGATGTACGATAATTTACTCCAGTAAATAAAAGTATATATTAACGATACTTGTTCATGCAAGCTTTTTGTACTATTGTGCCTCATATAGTCATAAACACGCCATTAAATTACTAAAGATACATTTCATAACCAAGTAAAATACAGAGAATGGCTCATAAATAAGAATTGAGCACGCTGATTCAGTGGTATAATAATGTTATTAATTGTCCGTCTATCTTTCTCTTAATACATCGTTTCTTGTCAAGAGCTTTATGAGGATTTGTTTTTTTTTTTTTTTTTTGTATTCGGATACGCCGAAGCGGTGCTGTGGATTTTTTTTTACGATCACATGTTATTTAAATCGATAAAATTGTGGATAGTATTGGCTATTTTTAATTTTCGAAATTTTTCTTACTTGTCGGTTTATTCTTTGTTTAAGCTCAATGCATTTGTAACTCGATGATTTATCACTTGAGCTGTAACTCTTTTAATCACGGCAATGAAAGGAAATACATTTATACTCATTGTCTGGAGTGAATGAATAAAGAATAATTGTATAAATAGGAAAGTATTATCGTTGGATACATATTGATAAGGCGACAATGATATCTATTACTAATGGTATCCAAATCGAGAAACATCCATTCATTTAGATTTTGCTAGATTTTTCAATCGGACGATCAATTCAATTTCATCGAACGACTAAATGATTAAGAAGAAAATAAGAGTATACAGAGCAATATTATTCACGAAACAATAACAGAAATTTGAGAAAAAAGCAAAAGTATAAAAACTTGACATTCAGATTGACGGAAAATGGGTAAATTATGTATACGACGCGAAAGACAATAATACCATAATGAAAAGCTGAAACCTACAGAGTCATTATAATAAGTATTGATTCAATTTTAAATCCGTGTTAACTAAATCCTAACTCTGCATGCGTGCGAACGAGCGTATATATATTTATTTATATTATCTACATACCCGCAATTAATATGTCTACTCCAAATGATCGCGCATACGGTAATTACGACATGTGTTATTTGACGTGTTGCAGCTCGACGACACCGCGCTCCAGCTGTATAAGGACGGCGATTACGGTGCTTACCTGGACCTCGAGGCATCCATCAGCGAGCAGCAAGAGGAATTCGAGGGCTTCCAAACCAAGTGAGTTGGCCAAAAATGTATTTTCTCTATCCTTGCTCACTTCGAGCGGCGTCGCCGTGATGTAACGTGCATTCACGCCTGTATTATCCGTCTCCCTTTCTCATTTGGTTTATTTCGGCCTGGCCAGGTCACCGATTGGCCATTTTATTTATGGGCTTACTACTTTAGCGCCCAAATTATGATTTCGCTCATCCGTTTGAGAATTTGAAGGTAAGGTACGTCAAAGTCGGTTACTCATTATATTTCAGTTTCATCATTCTTCTTATTGTACGCGTAATTAGCACTGCGTAATTACTTCGATGCAATTAAATACCGTTACGAATGCTCAAGGAGTCGCGCAATTACCTTAATTGTTTGGCCGATGTAACGGCTGCTAATAACGATACGATTATTCCCGACAATAGTGTAACAATTAATTTATTATCATATTTAATCTTATGAACCAGCCGTTTATATCTAATTGCTATATTCAATTTTTGAATTTCATTTCTAGCGCGATTTTGGGTCTTGGCAAATTTCAAAACAAAATGCTTCTTAATAATTTGAACGTAGAGCATAATCGAAAGTGCATTATATTTCTACGAATATCCGATATTAAATTAGCGAATGAATTGGTCGATTCATAAAAACGGAACTAATCAGAATGCGTAAAAAGTTTCAACATTTAGTGCTTCGCCCTCGCCGCCTCAACCCCACCACACTCGGCATTTCCATAAATAGAAGATGAAGCATTAAAGAACGTCGAATAAATAAAAAACATGCAATACTCGCGAATAACGCGCTTCAACGAATAAACATTTTTCGCACATCTATGACGATGTGCAAACGCACGTATCGTACAATTATTTCACTTTATTAGAGATAATATTGGCGGTCCACTAGTCTAAGGTAATTTAACTTCTTCGAGTATCAAAGTGCAGACAATCCACTGTTGTTTATCTTTGCAATTTAAGATAACATTGAAAGTAAAGTATTAACTGTTTGTGAAAATCGTCCATTTAAATGTTCTATTTGCTTATATATTGCCTGGTGCATATATAATTTATATAAAAGTTTTTATGGTTGGCGCAAATTGTTCGGCTTTGAGGCGCCATTATGAAAAGCCATATGTATATTTAAAATATTCCTTTTCGACTAAATGTTAAGGCGGTTGCACATATCGCGAATTACTAGCTATGTTCATTCTCAAAATTAATACGTATCCACAAATTTTCCGCATTATATCTCTATTTTGTCTAATTTATATTATTAATATTCTGTTAATAATGGATAATAGTAAAAATTGATTAATAAAGCACTTTATTGTGTTTGAGTGAGTAAAAATATTTTTACACATTTTAAATAGATGAATGATTGTCAATGTGAATTTGTACTTTTAAAATACCATTGAAAGTAAATGTAATCTTGGCATAATTTATTAGCATACGAGTATTGAGTACATTTGAAAAATAAAAATTAATTAAATCAATTGAATTAATATAATAAATCTACATTATAATTTATAATATTATTGTAAAGATATCTAGTGTATTACAATCAACTCGTTAAAAATTATACTTTAGTATCTGTTATATTATTTCTGATAAAAAATTACGTTCGTCATAATAAGCTTTCATCATAATAAGCTTACATATTATAAAATATGTCGCTCCTACAACATTAATAAAATTAATTATTCAGAAGCGGGTGTATGCGTATACGCAAAGTTTTACGTATCAATGGCTTCGTAACGATGAGAAATTGATTATTTATTATCTTCCTGTCAAAGCAATAGTTATCAAATAGAGAATCAATCGTCAGTTCAATTGTATAATTTAGGGAATATGACAATAACATTGTCATAATCGTTTCCCTCCATTGAATTATCATTACTAATGGTCGGCATTATTTGCCAAGTATAATCTCTCCAGCAAGTATTAGCAATCAACATACGTCGTGGTGTTTCGTAAGTACGAAATGTCAATTCTCGCCAATACTTCTTGAACATTCCGATTCTCGACGGCTCGAGAAGATGACAGGTTCGTACAGCTTAATCCGAATCGCAAAATCACGAGCTCCCGTGGCTCCTCACTGTAATTCTCCTTCGTAGCTTAATGTCGAAACGATAATAATGAGGTCGTCGTCGCCACAGATGCAGCGCGCGCATTATGCACCCAGGGAGAGAGAGAGAGAGAGAGAGAGAGAGAGAGAGAGAGATGAATAAGAGAAGTAATGTGCGATAGGCGTTTTTTCGTTCGGTTTTCCGTGATCTTTGTGTCTGTTGAAGTTAATCATCGATACGTCGGCAAGTTGATATAATAGGGGCGTGGGGGCTTATTTATTAAGATCGCCCGAGTCAATTGATAATGGCAAAAATTATTTTCGGGTCTATAATGGAAATTGAGTTTCCAGGCGAGATAGTCATACTTGCTGACAATCGGCTGATTAAAAATTTATGATAATTAGATTTTATAGAGCTGTCACGCTCGGGCATTGTATAAACAATGAGAGTGTGCTTAGATGAAAATGGAATACGCGCTAGCGTTACCGAGAGCGGAATGTATTTATTCTTTTATTAATAAAAAACTTAATGATTAATTATCCAGAAAGATGTACTTTTTTCGGTGAAGTAATTTTGAGAAAATTGTTTCACGGATGTTCGATGTAAGTGTGTTTTATATTTTCTTTTTGATTATTAACAAACATTGATACGATCAATTTGATCCGTTCGCTATATGTTGAAATATTAAAGAATAAGTGTACTCTTCGTTTGTTAAATATTTCACTGAATCGAGTGCAATTAGATAATTAAAAACCACGACTATCACGATATTGAAATATTAATTAAGCGATTTTATGTATAAATTAGATATTTTGGATTTTCATTTTATCTTAACAATTTATTTCAACTACAAGTTTAATCATGTATTTTCTTTTGAATGAAGAAAACGTAAACGTAAGTAAGATCGCTTAAAGTATTTATTATAATATTTTAAGTTATGTATCGGGCATTCGGATATTACGCCATTATGGCACATATTTAAGATAACGAATTTCTTAATTATCCATAAAGATATATATATATATATATATATATATATATATATATCCGTGAAAATAATAGAAGATTATTGATTACGAGAAATTCATAGACGCTCGTATTTAGTCACCTTACCAATGCATTACTCGGATAATTCGAATTAAACCTACTCGCTCGCATTAAATTGGAAGGTAAATTTAAAAAAAAAAAATTTAATTGCCTCAATTCAAATTACACGGCCAATTCGCATTCGATCAATAGTAAAAGGATATTGTAGTAGATCTTAATAATTTTCTCGTTTCTATTCAGCGATTATTACAACGCATTACATCTTAATTGTACTCTGTTTGTCGTAAGTTTATAGCATCGATGATGCGATCCTAAACTCTCCTAACAATGGACAATATAAATTTTGTCGTAATAAAGCACGCGGACAAATTAAGAATTCCGAATATGCCCCGTCCTCTCTTTGCCATATGATAATTAAAAATCCCCCTCTCAATTAAAATGCTAAATGTATGACGTTGGAAGGGAGTCGTCGTTGCCTATAGCTGCTACGTCAAAAGCATTGTCCGCGTAAATAATACGCCGCGAAATGTGCGAAAAACTACTTATTAAACGGCCTCTTGCGTCTTTCCCACACGCACACCACCAAACTACCATGATTCGCTCGCTCGCCCATTCGGCATATCGATATTCGCGATCTTCGCCGTAAACGCTGATAATTCAGCCGGGTAGATCTCTCCTTTTCATCCGCGACTTTGGCTCTCATGGGGTTCAACAGCCAGGCACAATGAGTCGATGCGCCGCTCAATGTTCGGCGAGAGCAATTGAGAGGGACGAGGAACAAGCGAATTTGCACGCGCGCCTATCATTAAACGGCGCGTACGATGTTATGTGCTTTCGATACGTCGTTTTTTCATCATCTCGTTTACGTGTAATTCGCGTGCAATTAGGTGAAAGCTCAAAGCCACTTTTTCAGCTTACAACTCATATATATGCGACAATTTTTTTTTCTCCAATCTTTTCGGCATTGATACTCGTATCGATGATAAATTTGTCTTTTCTAGTGGACATTTGAATGCCTTGAATGCCTGTAAAGTGTATCTTAACAACTACCCGGAAATTCAGAAAAGCGAGAAATTATTAGAAGATCGATTGATTATCACGTTTTTATCACCTACTTCGGTATTATCACTGTTTTAATCTACACAACTATTATTCAATTGGCACGATATTGTTCTTATTTTTCTTTTGTCAATTATACATGACATTGCATTACTTTTGGTCACAGAAACATTACCTTTTCATTTATTACTTGTCATAAATTTGCAACATTTATATTAAATATATTCAAAGCGCATTCTACACTAAATTTTCATGCTCATTTAAATTGATATTAAACGATTGTTTTTGCGCGGACTTGATTATTTATTAAAAACAGTATCTCGTAAATGATTGTGGAGGAAGGAACTTATGAAAATATTTAATAAACTTGTCTAGTATAAAAGTATTCGACGCCATCAACTGCTTATAGAGTAATTGATACAGACATCTGACGCCGGTTTCATAAATAATTTGATCGCAGCAATTACTCGCACCACTTGAAATCCCAGTTTTTCTTCATAAAGCGTTATTAATTAAAGCCATTTTCCTCAAAGTATTTAAATCCATATCGGGTGCTTGCATCACGATGCAGCTTCGCGATGCGCGAATGCGTACGCGTGCAATATGAGCAAAGTGGTGCTTTATGAAGCAAAGTGCGCCTCTTGCTCTCGACTTTCCATTGCGGCAGAGAATACTCGTTCAAGGTTCACGAGGTAGTAATCGAAGATAATAGGACGTCTCGAGCCGCCAGCCACGACTCTTCATTATGCAATTTCGTAATTTTTTCCTTTTTTCTTCGTTTCGCGGACGTAAGCGCTTTCAAGCTCATTCATAAACAAACCGTACTTTCGTAGTCGCCGTCCTAACTTTCTTG